GAGGGGGGTGGGGGGAGTGTTACCTGGCCGCGATTTCAGGCGGTGTCCAGGCGACCTGCCCGAACGGCAGCGCTTTGGGGTTTTTTCTTTGCCTTTTTTGGGGGTCGTTGTTGGACTCTTGTTTAAAATCTCATCAGCGGAACTAAAAGCGGTTTTTGTTATCACAGCTGTCCGCAGCCATCTGTGGGCTGGCTGGAGAAGATCTGCCTTTTTTTAAAGGGCTCCGTTAAAAGTCTGGCTCGTGCGCTACCCCACAGGCTACACAAAACTGTCAGGCGACACAGGTACACTGGAAGCAAAGCGTGGTCTTATGGGCGTGCTTTATACCGTGCCAGTGGGTAAAACGCTCTGACAGAACGCTTCTCTGCGGGACTTGGCATTGTGCTTCTAAAGAAGTTCTTGATACTTGGCAGTGTTCTGACAGCCGGGAAGGGAAGTGGTCTGACGAGGAGAGTTTGACCAGTCTCACCGAAGCTCTTTGATTAAATACTTCCCGCATGTGAGAAACATGATGCAGCGCTCTCATGAGCTGCCGTAGCTCAGCTTGGGTTTGGTACCACAAGAAAGAGTAGGGGCTGTCCGCCGCGTTCTGCGATAGTCGTGTTGTTCTCCCAGAATTGACCAACTGTATCTGTTTAGGTGTAAAATCATAAAACTGGTTTGTTCAGCATATACCAGTCTGTGCTAGGTGACACAGGCTATCAAAAGCATAACGTTCCATTTCTTACCTGGCTTTCTGCTTAGTAGTCAGTAAAATTCAGAGTTGTGGTCCAGAAAGCTTGGTACAAGAAAGATGTTCGAACCTGCAAATGACGGCTTTCAAAACTGACTTTAGTTTCACCAGCAGTCAACAAGAATAGAAAGCATAGAAGAGGAAGCAGGCTTTCTGGTAGGCGATCTTTATTTCCTTGTGGAGAGTGGTTGGGTTCTTGGTGAAGTAAAGCTTTATCAGATCTCCATGGAACTGGGGTAGTCGTGAGCAGTGGGCTCAGATGGAGTATGTACAGGCAACAGTTTTTGCAGTGCTTGCAGATTATTTTTTTTTAACAGATTACAAGTAATTACAAACTGATTTTTCAGACATGCTATGAAATTGTAGTATGATTGTTCTATTCTTTAAATTTGTTGCTGAAAAAATCCCGGTAATATTTTTGGAAAGTATTTCTAAGAGAGTTTAAGAGAAGTCGGGAATCTCTCTGTCTGGCGGAGGTGTTCTGCTCTTCTTAAGTGCTTTGTTTTCTTGTAGTTATGGGGAGGGGGTGTGTATTTTTTGAGTTACCTGATCCTGAAAACTTCAGAATGTGATAAAACATACCTTGCATACTCTTGTAAGATGATGGACACACTCCTGAACTTGAGGGAAGACAGAATTTGTAGTCCTTGGGACATCTTTGAGGGGCAGAGGTTTGGAAATGCTGTTTCACTCCATATAAACAAGATAACAAATTCCCAGCTTTAGAAACAATTTTTTTCCTTCCAGGTTTGTAAGAAGGCATTTTAAACAGCCTGGAACTGTTTCAAATACAGATGCTTTCCTCCGAATTAATTCAGTTAGCTGCACTTTTCAACTGAATCTGTTTCTAACTGTTTGGAAATATATCAGTTAAATGTTGATGAGCATGTGTATGATGTTACTGTGGCTTAGGTACTTTTTACTGCATTAAAAAAGTTCTCTCAATGTACTTTGAGTCACAGTTTAATCCAGAGTGGTACGAGCTGAACTGCTCAACATGTTCTGGCATTTCGTTAGGGCAGATCCAGTATAATGCTTTCAAGCCACATTGCCTGATTTCTTGTTGGTGTGTAGACAAAAAAGTCTCAAGCCGTAGTGCTACTTGACTTTTGGAAACCAGCATTTCTTTGGCTGCTTGTTCGTTAGAGCGGTGTCATCTTAACCCGCTCGGGGGACACAAAGAAGGTAAAATACTCCTTTTTCAGTACTGCACCGGGCTTCGATTAGCTTGAGACAGCAGTTGCTTTAAGAGGGCACTGCTTAAATCAGATTGGTGAAATGACCTGTGTGAAACAAAACGTTAACTTCTGAAGGCTGTTTTCCGGCAGCTGATGTCCATGATTTCACTTGCAACCCAGATACACAAATAACTGCGTCAGCACAAACGTACATGGTGGCAGACCACGGAGGAAGTCGAGGAGAGCGTATGCAGGAACCTCGGAAGTCAGCATTCCCTCCTCAATAAACCGGGAGGTGAAACTGCGTTTCCTGATGCCAGCTTGCATGTAACAGTCTGTAAGAATTCTGTGTGCTACTTGAGAGTACAGCTTCTTGTTAGATGACGGGTTTTAATTCTGTCTTAAGCCCCCAAATTAGAACTGTAGAGAATTTAGTACGAATCTGAGCTGAAAAGGAAAGCCTACAGCATGCCGTGTGTATCAGAGGAGCTATATAAATATGTTTTGATCGCTTCAATTTTTTTTTTCCTATTCTCTGTTGAGAGCTCAGTGGTTTAAAAACTGCTTCTTTTGCAGAGGATCATATTTACAAAAAGGTATTATCAAGTCAGTTTTTTACTGCAATGATATTTTCATAATGTTGTCTTTAATTTTGTCTTTAATTAAATTAGAGAAGTTTTACCAACATGACTGTCTCCATTTTTTGCTACCTAAAATTTTATTGAAGACTGAATTATTCTCGCTTGAGAGAGGTGAATTAGGCTAGTGCATATTTATCAGACTTCTGATACAATTTAGTTTCATTCGCAGTACGCTGCAAGAGTCTTGTGGTGGTTGTCTTCACTGCTTTTGCAAAAGCTTATAAAACGTACATTTTTGCTCCATTGAGATAAAGGGACTTTCAGAATTATACTTTCATTGATCATGGATATTAGAAAGGTATGATCGTTTTTTAACACGTGCAAAATACATGTCTTAAGGTTTTGTTTAAAAATAGAGTAACAGCGGTGAAACCCATTCTTTGGCCTCCCAAGCCCTAGGCACGAGGATCTTAAATGACTGTCTCAGACAGCTAAAATGTGCAGTTTTGTTGGCTGATTCAAACAGCTGATGGCATTCCAGGAGAGGAAACTGTTTGGACATTGATCTGTGAACCTGAGGTGGTAACCTTGATGGCATCTTTGATCTCCGAGTACTCTAGAATGCTTATCCCGTTCACCCAGTTACTGTATGTCCACGAACATGCAGAGTGTCATGTCTGCCAGGAACTTCAGGGCTTGGAAATGTAGATTGACTCGATGTCCTGTTCAAATCCAAGTTATAGTTTCAGCCTTCAATAATCTTGCCAAATGTGTGCAAAAAAATAAGAAATATTTATGAGCTGTCTACCAACATGTTCTCTTTGCTTTCTTTCATGTTAAATGTTTTTCAGTGCGCAATTCTGTCAGTGGAGGTTGGAGGATAACAGGTCAGAAAAATATTTCAGGCTGGAAAACTGGCTGCTTTTGTCTACCAGAGGTAGTGGCCAGCATTTGTAAGGGTGGTTTCTGCTCTCTCCCCCCACCCGCTTCTGAAAAGCTGTTATGAGAACAGGCTGTTCCTGTTTGAAGTGGATTTTGACCTGGCTACTCTCTAAACAGCCTTCTGTGGCAGCTTCTTTGTCTATAGTGGATGAGGTTGGAGTTCTGTTGTCATTCCTCTGTAGTTTATCTGACATACTACTTTTTCTTTCACAGAGGAGAAGAAAAAACTGGTTCGAGAATTTGATGAGAAACAGCGTGAAGCAAATGAAACGGTAAACATAAGTCTGGGCTTTTGGCCTTTCTGACCGGTTGAAATACTGATGCCTTAAAAAGGACAGGACTTCCAAATTTTACTTTCTTTATAGATCCTGTTCGGGCAGGCAGATGTTGTATTTTTTTAGTATTTGATTGTCTGTGTTTGTCAAGACTGTTGTCTATATCTATATACATACACAGATACAGACAAATATTCTTACATGCGGGGTTTTTTTTGAGTGCTTGGTTTGGATGTTGCCTTCCCTGTGTTGAACAAAGGAGAGTGGCAGAGGTGTGATTAAAATTGCTAGAGGTTGTAGGGAGGGCATGTAGAGAATCTGCTGCTTTTTTGTGTTTTTCCCTGCCACTTTCTTTTTTCATGTTAGTCTTAACCCATCTGGTCTTTCTATAGTAGTCTGATGGTTAAATACCAGGGACTTTGAATATTCGAAACCTCTGTTGTACAGGCTTCCTGGACAGCAGGTGACATGGAACTGCACAAAAAACCCCCACGTGCCTTGTCTTTTTGAGCAAGACGTTATGGATTAAGCTTTCTTTTCATATTAATGTGCTGGGTTTTAGGATGTTTTTGAATCACAGCTGCATATGATGCTTCATTCTTCTGACTTACTGGGTTTTATTGACCTGTATCCGTGTAGGTGACATATGAGATGTAGAGCTTGTACTGGCAGACACCTGTAATTCACAATGTAAGCATTGTGAATTTGCAACAACTGTCACTACAAGTTGATGTGAAAATTCACACATCCAGATTCTCAGGGTGTACAGATCCGAACTCCAGTTGCCAGGCCTGGCTGTTCAGAGTGTGAATTTCGTGGCACGCCTGCCTGTGCAGTAGGTCTCTGTTGCATAGACAGGGTGAGAAGCTGGTACCGATCCTATAAATGCTTAAACCATGTGAGAGTGAAGACTGCAGATGTTGGAGTTAGAGTGATGTTTCAGAAAAAATCAAGCATTTAAGCTTGGCAATTTTTTATTATTTTTTTTTCTTGAGGCATTGCGTATCTGAAAATCCATGTGGGCTGAAGAGCATTTGGCAGAATGGTGTACTCGATAGTAGATGGGGGTGCAGGGCTTGGGGTTACTCCCCCTCGCCCAATCACATAAACACAAGCGAATCCCTTCATCTGGTGGTGAGTTTTGTGTGTAGCTGCTGATAAGAATAGATTTGGTGCTTCAGAAGTAAATATATTTTCTTTCGTTAAAGTTGCGGGAAATGGAGGAAGAACTGAAGTACGCTCCTCTGCTGTTCCGCAACCAGATGATGAGCAAAATCCGGGCGTACAGAAGAGACCTCTCCATGTTCCAGAGGGAGATGAGAAGCACAGATTTGGGATTGGGCCCTGGGAGTCAAGGCGATACAAAATACGGAATTTTCTCCACAGAAAATGAACAGAGTGTGAGAATAAGATATAAATTTTGTTTAACACTTCCGTCATTGTGTAAAAATAATATTCCAGATCTATTGTTTACAGTGTTTCTACTTTAATCCACTTAGCCTCTGTGCTTATATAACTCCCTGTATCTCTCTCTGCATGTAACGTGAGTGTCTCAGAACAGTTGGAACTCAAAGGAGACCTTTTCTGTTCTAAAACAAAGATATGAGTGTAATCAAAATGGGACTCCTTGAATGCCATGCAGTTAGTCATTTGCACAACATTCTGTACTGAAATGCTTTATTTAATCATTCCCCTGTGGCAGTGAAAACACAAAAGTGATGCTGCTGACCGAGAAGAAAGGTTAGCTGATCTAGGTTTAGCCTCCAAAACCTGCAGTGTGTGAATCACGCACTGTACAGGTTCTTTTGTAGAATTCTCTTATAAGCAATCTCAGTGTAAATAATTTCAAGAAAATATAAGAAGTCATCCTCTAGCACTTTGTTCACAACCCATGTACTGCTACAGTGCAAGAAATACACCAATTTGTTTACCAGATATGCTCAGATATATCTGAGCTAGTGAGACTGAATCTGCATATTATCTTCAGAGTTCTGTCATCTGTGCAGAAAGTTCACGGAGGTGCGCTTTTTGTTTGCCTGCCTTAGATAAGGAAGGTTTGGGGGAGGCTCTTCCTGTCATGTCTGTTCTGCAGTAGTTCGGTAAATTTTTGCATTTAGTTCCTCTGAAACGTGAGAGCAGGGTCGTAGATTAGACTTTCCAAAGCTTAAGAAAATACTTTATTTTGAGCTGCCTTTTGACCCTAAGGTCAGCAAACACTTCTTATCCTCTAGCCCAGGCTACTGGCATGAAAAGAGGATCTTTGTTACTTAGCAGTCCATCTGTTAGTGCTGTTTGTTCCTAATCCTTTCAACTGTGAACTCTTAATGATCCCCGTGGCAGCCAGCTGTGAAGTCACAAATAAGACTGAATTTAGATAGAAATGGAAGGAAAAGTTAGCATCTAGAAAGCAAAGATACTATTTTCATGTAAATATTCTTCGGTGGAAAAAAGTAAATTGTTGCAAAGACAGTTTTGTGTAACTGTTTTAACTCTTTAGCTGTGTGTCCTTCTTTTTCAAGGTTTAATCAGATTTGGCTATAATTTTACAATGGGAACAAGAACTCTTCCAAAATTAACTGGGCTACATCAGTTAACAGAAGGAGCTAATACGGTACAGCTGATACAAATGGATGGCCTGTGGAGTCAGCATCCTAACTTTTTGATCTGTCAGAAGCCCGAT